CTCTTCTTTCTTCTCAGATATATTTTTTCTGCCTCAGATATATCCATTCTATCAAAAAAAAACAACAACACAATGGATTGCTCAGAAATTGTGTTGGAGTTGACTGGTTCAATAGCTGAGAGGATGTCCCTAAGCCAGCTAATCCTTCACATGCTGGTCAGGAGGAGGACTTCCTAAGCCAGCAAATGCTCATGGATTAGTCAGATTCCATGTTTATGTGAGAATACACAAGTGGAGGGCTTTCCTCAAGTCATCAAATCACATCACCAACCACTGCAGACACTGCACCATGTCAGCTCAGCTCCACATAAAATGAGCACAGTCCACCTCAGAGAGAGGTGGACTCAGAGACAGACAGAGTCACTCCAGATGTGTGCTGGGAGCCATCTCCAGTGTGAGCAACACCCCACACCACCTGAGGGCCTGGGGACCCATTGGGAATTGATGCACAACAACCGGCATGAAAAAGCAACCTGGCAGGAAGGATGCAAGTACACTGTCCTACAACCATGTGTCTTCATGTGGGAACAACAGCTTTGGGGCAAAAGATTTACATAGGTATTAGAGGGCTATCTGTGAAGAAAACCCCTAGCATATCAAGGCCTGGTGTATACAAACATATATGTTTATGTACACATACAAATGTATTTCCAAATTATCAAGAATGGTTATTGATTATTTGGAAGCACATAGAATAATATAAAATAAAATCTCTGTAATGATGCACAGTACTGCAGAGCACTACTTTGGACAATGCCTGTGATTGGGACGAGAGTGCACAATAGGCTGTGGCTGTACTGTGTCAGCCTGTGTGTCACCTGAGCAGGTATGGGACACCTCCAACAAGCAGACACCAACTTTTCAGCCAGTAAGATGCTGGCAAGGTCAGCCATCAGGACCAGACACCAAGCAAGGCACAGAGGGTACCACTGCAATGAGCTTCCTGAAGCCTAGAAATAATCTGTGCAATTATCTAAAGGCAAGTGGTAGGGACATGAACAACACCCACCACAGTGCAGCAAAACCAAACCTTTGCTTGACCACACATGCATAGCGTTAAAGGCTGCAATCAGCAACCTGCTGCCTAGGCTGTTGTGATTTTCCTCCCTATGAACTTGCCACCCAACATCTGGACACTGCAAGACACAGTGGTGGTGATGAGGATGGACTTCTGCACTAGCCCCAAACTGCCCAACAAACAGCAGCTCAGCTCAATATCTCCAAGACTTTACACATGCAGACATGCATATGGATATGCACGTGTCCATATCTGAAAGTCAGAGGTTCCCAAATGATAATATTGATAATACCTGAAAATGGGATGCTGCAAATCTGGTGGGAAGGTTCTGCTTTTCCTGCTTATTCCTGTTCTCCCACATGTCACAAATCCAGTGTATTGGCTGTTCTCTCCCTCCCTCCCAGTCTTGCAGCTGGGAACATGTGCCATCAGCATGGATGAGGGATCATACCAGAACTCTTGTTGGCTCAAGGATGTACAAGAAAAATATTCTGCCTTGCTTCCCAACAGGCTTCATCTTAGGCTGTCTCTGGCAGGATAGCCTATGTTCCTCCTCCCTTGATTCCTCCCCTTTGGATGTTTCCTGTGGTACATTTTTGACTGGTTCAAAACATTAGAAAATACCTTTCATCTGCTTCCTAACCATAGAAGGGTGAATATTTCAGCCTTCACAGCAAAGAGAAAACCACCATCAAATTTCCTGAAGGGTGTCAAACTATCTCTGTGACCACACATATTAATAAAGTAATGCTTATTTAAGCATGAAATGCAGCATCAAGCTGTAAAAGCTAATCAGTTTAGTGCAGAACTACATCTCCTAGCTTTATCAGGAGATGTGGAAGCTGTGCATGAGAGAAGGCATGCTTTTTAAAAGGGTAGGAAGTTCTAATTTTGTGATCAAATAGTACCTGCCATGACATAGTGTCACTGCTTAGGCACCACAGAAAATGAAAATCCAGTTTATTCACATAGAAATATGTCAAAATCTGACACCTCAATTTGAAGACAAAGCTGCAATCCAGAAAAAGGTGAATGCAAAACCATGGCAATAGAGAGGAGCTTACACAGCACATAGGGTTTGGAAAAGCATATTTAGTAATTTAATCTCTGTAGGGAAAGGAAACATACAGCAAAATAAAGAAAATATTACCCAGCTAAGAGAAACAGGAAAAATTGTACTTATCAGTGCACAGAAAATAAAATTATACATGGACAGTCCTCTCCAGTTGTGAAGAAGATGATAAAGTTTGGGCCTTTGAACTGTTAATACCACTGCTACTTTAAAATAAAAGAGAATCCCTGGTAAGTTACAAAGGTAAAACTAACAGTTCCATTTGTTGCAATTAATAAGATACTCACTAATGAAGTTGCTGGCCACTGATAAATAGTTTTGAAAGTCAGAAAAGAAAAAGATAAATCCAAAAGATCAGAAACATAATTGACCTGGAGTTCTCAAAGACAAAAGAGAGATGCATATCTGTAATTTAGTGCCCTAAACTGCATAAAACTCTCCAAATTATTTTGATCAAACTGATTATTATGCTGTAAGTACAAAAAGCACAGACATATACCATTAGCAGCTCATGAGAGCCCCAATAAGATGCATTCAGAAATGTCACTAGAAAATATAACTCATATTGCTCCAGGGCAAAGCTGTGAGTGCTTAACCACAGTATGGGCAGCTTTGTTCTGAATGTATTTTGCTGCATGTGCTTTGCTCTATGTCTCCTCGTCACTATACCTTTCTACACTTCTAAAAAAGATCGTATAATAGTTCCTCATATTGCTTTTGTATTTTTTTTTACAGAAATATTAACTTTGTTGTGATTTTTTTTTTTGTAATCTCGGAGACTTTCTTATTCCTCAGATAGTGATTTTTTTAATGCTTCCAGCTCTGAGGAAATGTTTTCAAGGCAGTTCTGCCATTTTTCCACACAACAGCTCAGTCACCAAACTACTTGCCACATGCAAAATGATGGCAAACTCTTTCTCCAAACTTCATCTCTAGCTTCTGAACTTTTCAGGCAGTTCTGAAATGCCTTTCCTTACAGGAAGGCTGTAATTACTATCAGAGGGTAACCTTTGTTATGACATGAAAAGAAGCACTCCAACTACTGTGCTAAACATTAGATGTTCAGCTGAGTGATAAAACACTATAATCAAGCCCCACGTGAATATCTCCTTCAACCAACCGTTGTATGCATAAGTGCTAAAACTTCAAATTGCACAGTATTTATTAGGGCACAGCATAGGCTTGTGAAATGAATGTCTTATTCTGCACATATTTAGAAAAAGAGAAAGCTGAAAAATCACTGTTGTGTGCCGTGTTCCTCCCTGGCACATGCTCCCGTGAAAAGCAATAGTGGTGGTAATGGCACTCCAGAGATTGAATGTTTCTCTGCATGTGGTGGGCAAGTGCAGAGGTTTAAACAATATTTTTGCACTTTAAGTAAAAGTAAAAAAAATCATATGTTAATATTACAAAAAGGTGTAGTGTTTGCCTGCTCTCGCTGTTTGTGTAAACTGAGAGGGTTTTTTGTATTTTCTAGCGAAAACCTTCAATCTGTCTCAGTAGTTTCTGGTACCTTTCTCCATATCCCCTGTGTACACTTTACAATGACACCAGTAAATGTTGCTTTCATGCCTTTGGATGGATCATTCCCATCATGATTGCTTGAGCAAATCTCTGCTGGGGGAAATTTCCCTTCCCCAGAGTGCATGGATGAGCCGGGAGCGCACTGTGGAGCTGAGGGCAGGACAGTGTGGTGCTGCTGGGGGGGGTATCCACAGCAGGTCACAGCTGCTCAGCTTTACCACTGTTAGAGAGCAGTGGGTGGTGGGAACTCAGAAATGTTGAGAAGAAACACAGACATGAGAGCTTCCCTCTGGGCAGGGAGGTGTGGTCAGCTATTTTATTCCTGTCTCTGCAAAGTTCTTTCACGGAAGCTCCCTCACCAGCTCCCTCTTTTTTGCAACAAACCAATATGGCAGGATAGGAGAGAAGACTCTTATGGAGACCCACGTGGTCCCATAGGCTGAGATCAGGAGTGGTTTGATCACTGAATTAGTTTCATCCCAACAAGGGATTTAATGGAAGCCAAGCTGTTTTCCTCCTTTGTTAGTTTCCAGGAGAACATGTTTCTCCCATGTCTTTGTGTTAGATGTTACAAGCATTCTGGAGCAGAAATGTGTCTTTGTTGTAGCTTATATAGTTGAAAGACATCTTCAGAGATAGCAAAAGAAATTATAATAATAATATGGTAACTATGGGAAGCTGCAGTGTTGCTGTTTGACTCATTAAAAATGAGTTCAGGATCATAGGATACTAGTTCCATGTACTTAATTCAGATTTTCAGATGAATTGAGATATTTTTGTATCCTGAAGATCAGTTTACTGTCTTCAGTGTTGAACTTTTTGTTATGATTCAAAATATATAATTCTCTGTATGGTTTTGCTAATAAAATCCACAAATTAAATTGATTCAGATTTCTAAGTATAGAAATATTGATTGTGATGAGGTAAATAATTTTGACAGTCATAGTTTGCTTGCAGAAGCCTTTCCTAGCATCACTGCCAAAGACATTTTTTCCTCTAGGTCATATTACAGCATGTGCTCAATTGTCCCAGTCTGTGTAATATGTATGAATGATGCATCCAACACATGGCAGTCATTGTCTCAGAACCATGTTAGCAGAGGGTTAATGCTTATTTGTGACTTATTCAATAATACAGAATAAGGACATGAAAACAAGTCAAGGAATGTTTTTAAACTTTTTTTAATTTCTTGCTTAATAGGACATGTTGTTCATGTCTTTTAGTACACCTAAAGCTGGATTTTTCTTTGCTATGAAGCAACATTGTTTTCATTGAAAATGTGATAGTAAGTATGACTCCATATTTTATATTGCTTATTAATTACAAGTAGAACATATTTATACTGTGTGCTCAGTTTCATCACCCTTTTTTGTCTTCCCACTTAAGGAGTAGAAATCTATCATTATCTGTTCCACCATCATGACGGAAATAGGAAAGCATTTTATACTCACAGGTAATTTGCTCTACAAATCTGTATGTGAATGTAATATCTATATGTGATGATATATATATGTGTAAAATTTATGTAGCTCAGGTCAACTTGCCCCTCTAAAGAGTTTTGTAAATTCCTTTAGTTTCATTTATTCCAGTTTCAAAAGTCTCCCAGTTACAATTTCCTGAATTTATCTGCAGTGGGGTTTTTTTGGTTGGATTGGTTTGGGGTTTTTTTTTTGTTACCCTTGGGGGTATTGATATAATTCCACAACTCGGTCATTGTCCAATCAAGTTACTGACAGAACATGACACCCAGCTTCACAAATTCATATGTATGATAATTAGCCCTTAATTATTTAGATAAATTGTTTCTTTTTAATATTGTTATTGCTGAAATATGGCTCTTGAAACTGGGCAGAAGATGGAGACATTGCAAACCCATCCCAATGAGCTAGAACCAGACTTCAGGCATAGCACCGAGTAGGGGCAACACATCAAATCTATGGTGCCAGAGCTACTACCATTCCCTTTGATGCATGGAATCATAATTCCTCCTTGTTACAGAAAGCAGAGGGAATAAATACAGTGTGCAGCAAATAAATCTAGGTTTTGATGGTTCATTTCTTAGGGTGAGTAGTCAAAGCATTATCTTTTGCGAAGGGTGCCTAAGGATGCAATCGACTTTTCAAAAGGATTGGAAACCACCTCTGCATTGAGGACCAGACACACAGAGGAATAACATGGAAAATCATATTTAAGAGCATCTTTTGGTAATTGAAACCTGCAAGAATAAACAGTTCTAATTTTAAATTTTCTGCCTCTCAATTTCATCACTTTTGTCCCGACTTCATTTTTCTAAGAAAGAGTAAAGTGATCTCCATAGCTCTCTTTCTATGATTTACTTTCCTCCTGTCTTTCATGTTCCTTCTTTATCTCCTCTCTGCTTTCTGGTCATATTGGTATGCTCTAATTACTCCTGTTACTGAAAGCATAGAATCTACCCATTATAAGCAAATGAGCCAAGGATGCCTGTAAATGACAGATGAAATTGAGTGAGATTTGAGACTGAGATATGCTAAAGGATGCTGTCAAAATATTTATGACATGGGAAGAGCGCAGCTGAAGCATCAGATTAGTATTGCTGAAGATTGTGAAGAAAAACTGAAATGATTTTACCAAGATATGTAGGGTATGGAGAATACGTGTTGCCACTCAGACTTCTCGTTTGCAAACAGCAGATTGCAGAGTCATTGAGGTCTAAGTAATTTTAGCTGCCAAACCCTCTGAGTAAACGGACCTTCTTCAGCACTCCATCAAGCTTTCAACATCTAGATAAAAACAGTCTTAGTTGGTCAGGTCTATGAGAGAGCGAATGCAGTATGTGGGGAGTAACTAAAGTCAAGATGTCAAATAACAGATCTTCCAGGTTTTCCTGATTATTTTCAGTGGTGAAAATCACATGAGGTAGACTACTGTTTTGGTAGTATTTCATAATAACAAAAAGTCTGGTAATAGATACGTTATGATTAGAAGAAAATTTGATTACATGCATATTTTTACACAATGGAACCGTGATTATTATGGAATAACATCTAGAAACTCAACTTGCAGCTAACAAATATATTAATGGCATTTAGATACATTTTTTTGCCAGTTTTGTCTCTAAACCAAAGATTCAGACTCCTGGTATCAGCACAGACATGAAGGTTGAACCAGTTTCCGGATTTTTTGAACCAAGCTTGCTCTGGTACCTGGTAGGAGACAATATTAACATTATATTTTTGATATAGAATAGCATAACAATGTTGTTGTCTCTCATTTCTACATGAAGAATGCCTGATATAAAGGGCAGTTATGTTAAACTGGGAAGTATAAGGCAAGCTAAGAGTGTGTGGTTCAACTCACCATATTGGTGTCTGTGTATCAGGTATCCAGTCTAAGCCAATGTGGTAAGCTTTCTCTATATTTAGAGGAAAAATAGATGCATTTCTGGAGTCATTTAACTGCCTTCAGATGCATCCATCTAGACATCTTCAATGTATGTATGTTCCTATATGCTAGATGTTTAAGATCCCACTATAATCCTATAGTCAATGGGAAACTGCTCAGAGCCTCCAAAGGAATCTAGAGAGTGACTCACTCTGTCCTAAAGTGGGCAAGTGCATCTGCTCAGTCAAGCATCACTTACTTTTTTGATTTAGAAACTGTCTAAACATGGATTTCAAGATGTTTGCAATGGCCTGTGATACCCTCCTGGCCTCAGCAACTCTATGCGGAAAGGATCAGATCTTTCCTAAATCATGTTTTGTACTTGCTTGGGCCATGGGCATGATGCAGCTATCCTAAATCTCTACTGGCTACAGTGTTCAGCCACCTTCCCTACCTACGAACACCTGCTCTTACAGAAGAGGTGTGAACCAAGTCTCATCCTTTGGGCCAAATTCATATCTCAGATAGACAAGTGAAGAGACTGAGCTGCATTTGTTCTGTTACCAAATATTGCTTTTAAGTCTTGTACACAGCACAATGAATAATTAATTTTTTTTTTACTTCAGTACTGCCATTTCCTAAAGCACTTCAGGTCTGCTAGAATCCATTATCCTGTGTCAGGACAATGTCAGGACAATGTCCCACTGTCAGCAGTAAATTTTGTGATTCAATTACTTTGATTAATATAAATCGAAAAACTCCTATTCATGTACAAGGTTGTTATTGACAGAATATTTGCTATTAAAATGGAAACCAGCCCTCAGCTACTGCAGCATATTTGTTTAAACGAGAATCTGGATACAACAGAGACCTGACTTTGCCTTGGCAGTTATAAGAAGAGGAAAACTATGTGGTCCACTACAGGACTTTCTTTTTTGAAAAAGATATAAACCCAGTCTTAATATCTACTTTATATTCCTATGAAAGCACTATTTCTTGCACTTTTTATAGGATAGAATAAAAATGCATTTAAGCAGAAATGGCTCTCCAGAAGGCCCTTGGTTTGAAGGAAACTTCACAAAATGAGACAATTTGCATGGCAAAATACATCTTAGTTTGCGTTAAAATTTTCATATTATTATCTTCATGGTTTTATTGGTGCTGTGGCCATAAGGAAAATTACAAAATCCAACAGAGGGATTATATAATAGCAAACTTCAGCTTTTTTAAAAATGTCTTCATATTGTCTTCATCTTTTTCACATGAAAACAGTTTAAAAGATAAGTGTAAAGTAATATAATATTTTCCAAGAAAGTATGAAAATACCCTGACATTCTACATCTGAGTGGTGGCATATATAAGCTCTTTTATGAGATGTCTAGGAGTCTTTATTTGACTCTGGCATTTGAAGCCCACTGTGTGAGATGAACATATGCAGATTTCCAGATGCTGTGCTTTAGTATGTCCATATTTTTAATAGACTGAATTTTCTAAGATCAAGTATGCTAATTGCAAGCTGCTCTGAACACATGGAGACTGTTCAGTTTTACAGCAATTCAAAGAATAACAGGACCTTTTAATTGAGTGTCGTAAAATAGAATAGCCCATGTAGAATATAAGATGGGAAGAAGATAAGGGGAATGACATTTGTTACTGATAGTTGTACTTTATATATCAGAAGAACTATGTTTTACATGTTTTGGCTGAAAAAGAATGAAAAGCACAAGAACAACCTTTTCCCTGCTGAGAAAATGTTTTTTTGCTGTTCCTTGGGCTGGACTAATTACTGTAAGAGACTTGGTTCCCCTGGCTCTGGTGAGGTTGCAGTATCCAGTTTTCACAACAGCTACAGGCAGAAAACCCAGAACCACTGCACTGACAGCCAGTGCAAATACATGCCTTGGTTTGTAAAATTCAATCATATTGGCCTATTTCTCATATAAAGGACATAGACTGGTAAAGACAGGAGCAGAGCTGTCACATAGAAACATCTCCCCCAGTAACAGGACACTAGTGTGCCTTACTTGTAGCCTAAGAATAGTCTTAATTATGCAATTTCTGGGGTTTTGGTTTCTTCTTATGGACAGTAATCTGTTCTTTAGCTTCATTCCTATCCAGAAAAGGACTTTATTAGGATCTATTACACTTCCATTTCAACAGGTTTTGGCCACAGGAGGCCCTATGCTCACTACTTCTGCTGTGCTTAATCCTCCCCCAGTCCCAACTATTGAGCATTATCTGTCATCTGTATCTTCCATGCACAGAGGTGGATACAGCATGCAGGAGCCATAGGAGTGTGGTCAGCCCTTTTTTTGCCTTGGGACGTTTCTTCTGTAGTGTCTATTTGAAGAAGGAAAAAAGGCAGGGGTTTTTACCATATACAATGCAAAACTCGTCCATGAAAAATCTTAAGCGAAACAGACCCAGTTCTCCTCTTATTTATTTGTGTTTAAGGTAGGAGGAACTTGTGGCCAAAAAATCGGGCTAATGCAATTAGACTGATGATTTAAAAAAGATCTATGGAAAATTTGTAAAGCAAGCTCCTGAAGGGCTTTGATTGTTTATGTCCTTTGTTGTGCCATTCAGCTGATGCCTAATCCAAAACATGGCTGTCACTAATGCTGATGCAGAAAGAAGCCAGAATTGCTCCTGGTAGTCCTAGTAGCTCAGAGGTCGATGGCATGGCCATGGGAGAAGCTTCCCTGATGACAGGGAAGTCTTAAGCACAAATTAAACCCCTCCAAAGACTCTTCAGGTATTCCCTTTTCTGTAAATGTGACACTAAATGCTAGCTTACCTTTGCTCCAGATGATTTAATATTACCTTCAGCCTTCTCAAGTTTTTTTAGCCTTCAGAAGATTTCTTTTTTTTTTTTTAACTTTGTTTTTCTCCCTTTTTACACAGTATAAAATCAAGTCTGCAAGCATTAAGATTCAGTTTCTAAAGCAGCGTTCACTGAGAAAAAATAAGATGCAGAAACTTCACATCTGAGCTCCCTTTCTAGTTGATGGAGAGACATAGACACTTCTGGAATGTGATTCATCTTAACCTAAAATTAGGCCTCCTAAATAGGACAGCCGAATTGCACTCTA